CGGTCTTCCTCTGAGTCCGCACTTTCGCGACGTAACGCCGCTTTGAATGTCGGGAAGAAGTCTGCTGTGGAGTCCGCATCAGCGCGGGCTCGGCAAAAGTGCGCATCAAGGGCGCAAATCGACCGCAGAGGGGGCCCTCGCGAGCACCCTTCTGAGATCTAAAAATGACAAATGGGACACACTGCGGTCTCACGGACTTAACGGACACGCGCACGCGGCAGCCATTGTAAGTCCACAAGACCGAAAGTGCACATGAAGTGTGCCATTAGGTATTGGGGCTTTGTTACAAACTAGCTAGTAGTTACTAAGCCTCTAGTGTGGACTTTACGTTCCAGTTTAAGTAAGAACTTACGAACAGCTGGTGCAACCCTACCCGTCTGTCAGTCCGTTCGGAAATAACGCCTTTTTCAGTGAGCCTGGTTCATCACCACGGACATCATGCCAACAACCGATCACCGGCTGAGGTAAGAGTCTCATACTACATATGAACGATATTTTATATTACATTTGTGTTAGTTGACAGTTTCCAAGCTAACGTTAGCATTCATAAATGTTCAGTCATAACTGGCGTCGAGCTGGAGGGCAAAACACTGCAGCATGCGTCTTTCAATTTCCCATCTGTTTTAAGAAAGATCAGTTGAACCCACATCTCTAAAAACCGAAAACAAGCTTTAGTAGACTTGTTATGCGTATCAAAGTCCGTCCAATTGTGTATAAAATCTTTATTAAAAATGGCGGGACATTTTGAAACACTGTCTGGAAGCTGAAAACTCTTCTCTTAAAAAACATCCTTGATTTTATTTTAGTAAAATTGTAGTAACCACGTTTTTGGCGAATTTATTATCATTTTAATAACCCCGGTTTTACTAAAAAAAATAGGTCTACCGTGTTTTTTGTTTGTTCGTTTTTTTCTTTGTAGTTAAACCATGGCTAATTTTCGTAACGTTAATGGTTAACGTGACTAACGTTAACGTTAACTCTATCAAGACCGTTAAGAAATCGAATTCAGTTCTGTTCTGTACTTGTTGATAATAATACAGCAAAGACTAGAATATGAATAATGAATATAACATGATGAACCCTCTAAGTGTAACTGATGCAGCTAGGTCACAGTAAATCATATTCATTTTTACTTTCTATAAATGTAGCTAAAATCACATGGCAGCTCAAAACATACTGTTAACCTTTCCTGCTCAGCTTCCAGATCATAGTCAGTTGAGGTTTTGCATTGTACCACTCCCAATGGAACATATTCTGACATGTGTAAATGTAATACTGAGTTTTAAAATAACTTTTTTTGTGTGTGATTTCAGGTCATGTGGAAAGCAGATGATCATGGCAAACAAAGTATGGGAAGAATTAAAGGATTAGTTCACTTAAAAAAAAAACTTTTGCTGATAATTTACTCACCCCCATGTCATCCAAGATATCCATGTCTTTCTTTCTTCAGTTGAAAATAAATTAAGGTTTTTGATGAAAACATTCCAGGATTTTTCTCCATATAATGGACTTCAATAGACCCCAAACGGTTCAAGGTCCAAATGACAGTTTCAGTGCAGCTTCAAAGGGCTTTAAACGATACCAGACAACCCAGTCTCATATAAAAATGTACCCTGACTACGTTGGTCCAAAGTGCAAAATAAAAGGGGTTACGTAAAATAATGGCCCTTAAATTGTATGACTGTTACATTTTTTTGGCTTAGTCTTCTCCTATTGTTTTCCGTCAGAGTCACGTGACTTTCAAGATTCCGGCTGTGAGAACCAAAACATGGCGGACATTTCTTTCATGTTTAGTGAAAAAAACTGTATTTTGAGTTAGTTTCTGCATAAAAATAAGTTTTGGTTACATTTCTAGCGAGAAATATATATTTTATTTTCATAATATCCACTCAGTGAGTGTACATAATCACCTGTTTGCTCGTTATTGAGAATATTTTTCAGATCTCGCCAGAATAATGTGAAACTGTTACGTTTGGTTGCTATAACATGGACTATTGGCATATTTTGACTTAGTTTCTGCATAAAAATAAGTTTTGGTTACATTTCTAGCGAGAAATATATATTTTTATTTTCATAATATCCACTCAGTGAGTGTACATAATCACCTGTTTGCTCGTTATATTGAGAATATTTTTCAGATCTCGCCAGAATAGTGAAACTGTTACGTTTTGGTTGCTATTACATCGACGCTGCTATTTGACTTAAGTTTCTGCATAAAAATAAGTTTTGATTACATTTCTAGCGAGAAATATATATTTTATTTTCATAATATCCACTCAGTGAGTGTACATAATCACCTGTTTGCTCGTTATTGAGAATATTTTTTCAGATCTCGCCAGAATAATGTGAAACTGTTACGTTTGGTTGCTATAACATGGACTATTGGCATATTTTGACTTAGTTTCTGCATAAAAATAAGTTTTGATTACATTTCTAGCAAGAAATATATATTTTATTTTCATAATATCCACTCAGTGAGTGTACATAATCACCTGTTTGCTCGTTATTGCGAATATTTTTCAGATCTCGACAGAATAATGTGAAACTGAAACGTTTTGGTTGCTATAACATGGACGCTGCATATTTTGACTTAGTTTCTGCATAAAAACAAGTTTTGATTACATTTCTAGCGAGAAATAGCCTATATATTTTATTTTCATAATATTCACTCAGTCAATGTACATAATCACTCGCTTGCTCGTTGTTGCTTGCGAATACTTTTAAGATCTCGCCAGAATAATGTGAAACTGAAACGTTTCTGGTTCAAGTTCACAGTAGGTGGCGGTAATGCGCGAAATCGATGCGAAGAAGAAGAAGAAGAAGAAGAAGAAGAAGAAGAAGAAGAAGAAGAAGAAGGCAGGAAAAGGTAAACGTTAACAAGGAGGAAAAGGAAGCGTGGATAACTTGACCAAGCTGAAAAAATGAATAACCTTGACCCAGAAGATGCCATATTCCTGGCTGATGCGTTCCTGGACGAGTGCAAGGTAAATAACATTATCTCAGTGGTGGAAAAAGCATACTAATTAATGCTAATTGCAAGGTCTAAGACCATAATAGACTCTGACTGAGGTATTGCAGGGAAGGTGCAAAATTAAAAAGCACTCCAAGCAAAGTGCAACTATACAGGTTCATTGTCTTTATTCAAATGCAAGCTATAGTGCTGAGCTGATTTCCTACGTTAGAGCCAGTGAGAGTTTAATTACATATTATGTAAAAACGTTTCACTTTCTTTTTTTCTTCTTTTTTTATGTAGAAAAAGTTTTCTAGATCTGTCTGTACAGTACAGGACCACAACCGTTAGACTGAATTTTTACAATGTAATATTTATTATAACATTGGTTTTATAATGGGATTGTAGGTAGCGATAACCTTAGTGGGTGGAGGTTTATTCTGTGGCTCAATTGTTTATTTAGGTGGATCAGCATGGACACACTGAAGGAGGGTCAAAGCAATCCACAAAGCTGTGCGTTTGGCTTGATGAGGAGGACAATGGTCAACCTCTGCCAAAAAGATGTAGAGCTGGGGAGAGACGAAAGCGAAATTCGGCTAACGTTTCGGTTAAATTCGTTTTTTTTTTTGTTTTTTTTCATCAGTAGTTGCATTCATTATTCATTGAGCAAGTTCTAAATTGATATTCATATTTTTTCAGTTTCTTCAGCAAGCGTTCCCTCCTGTGCTCCATCTACCAGCACAACTGAGACACTACAAGACACTGTGACCATCAAAAATTTAGTTTTTTTTCCCTTTATACTTGTTTCCTCATTTGTTATGTGTTAATTGCCCAGATTTACCATTGCCTTCTTCCCTTTTCATTTTCAGACTCCCTCATTCAAGATGTCAGAGACCTCTTGGGAAGTGGTGCTGAAAAACCTCTCCCCTCACATTGGAGGGACAGGCAAACTTCCTCTCTGGAGATCTGGACAGTAATAAGGCCCCTCATGGCAGTGTTTCCCCTACCATTGTTTTAGGGGGGCGGCCCGGCCCGCCCCCCCAAAACGACCCCCCGCCCCCCCTAAAATGCTGACGAAATCCAGTCATTAAAAAAGGAATTTACCCGGAATTTCACGGAATTTGTAAATCTTTTGAGGAATAAATAGAAAGCAGTTCAGTACACTTGAAATCAAATCGCGATGTAGACAAGTGTGTGTGGATATTAAACCAGAAAGACGATTTAAATACGAATCCTGCTTGTTCTGTGTGAATGAATGGTGCAGCCGACGCGCAGTTTCATTTAACGTTACCACACACACACACACACACTGAAGCACGTGTGACGCTTGCGCTGTTTTTTTTTTTTTGCCTATTATGAAGACACACATGCATGAACTTCCTCTCCACTCCGAAAGTCACTTCGTGATCATTTAACCGCTTCATTTGAGAAAAACGCTCATCATGACATAAACACACAAACTCAAAAGGTCTTCACGGCTAACCTGACTCGAGTGAAACCTTGAAAGCTCGCGAGATCAGGATGGTCTCACGAGGCTACTTCACGGCAACCCGTCAAAATAAAAGTTCGGTTTAAACTTGACAGAAATATATGTCCCAATGTAATAATACTAACACTAATCCAAATAAAGTATCATCAAAACTGAATTAAAGGAATAATCCATGTTTTAATTTTAACAGTAAAGCTCATTGTGCAGCACGCTATTTGACAAAAAGTTTATTTAATTTCATATGATTAAAATTGATGATAAATGATAAAATTTGTGTTTTATGTTTTCATTTTATTACCAGAAAAAACACAACACAGAGATAGTGAAATTTATTTTCATATTTTTTTTAAAAATGTTGTATAAGTTTAATGATTCATAATACATTATTTCAATTAATTAGACACACTTTTTGATTGCTAAAAAATGTACACCATGTATCCGTAACACACCCACTCCGCAACACTAGCAGTCCCCCCCCCCCCCCCCCCCCCCGAAAAAAATCCTAGGGGAAACACTGCATGGTGAACAATATGTTAGCATCTGAAAAGCCGAAGAAGGGGGTTTGCCATCATTGTGGACACAAGGCTGCAGTAGTGATGTGTAGAGACTGTTTGCCACGATCACTCTACTGCACAGCCTGTGACCTTTCCACACATGAGGCCCTGGTGCTTCATAACAGAGCATCCATGGTGGAGGGGTTTTTCAGACACCTGCCGCCATCCACTTTTGTTCAGCAGGATGAAGGAGGGAAATTCTCCTATTATGAAAAAGGTATTTTTTAATTCTCAGGTTATATACACTCACCTAAAGGATTATTAGAAACACCACTTCAATTTCTCTTTAATGCAATTATCTAATCAACCAATCACATGGCAGTTGCTTCAATGCATTTAGGGGTGTGGTCCTGGTCAAGACAATCTCCTGAACTCCAAAAGCAATTTTGAGCGTGGCATGGTTGTTGGTGCCAGATGGGCCGGTCTGAGAATTTCACAATCTGCTCAGTTACTGGGATTTTCACACACAACCATTTCTAGGGTTTACAAAGAATGGTGTGAAAAGGGGAAAACATCCAGTATGCGGCAGTCCTGTGGGCGAAAATGCCTTGTTGATGATAGAGGTCAGAGGAGAACCGGGTACCACTCATCTCCACTACAAATAGGAAAAAGAGGCTACAATTTGCAAGAGCTCACCAAAATTGGACAGTTGAAGACTGGAAAAATGTTGCCTGGTCTGATGAGTCTCGATTTCTGTTGAGACATTCAGATGGTAGAGTCAGAATTTGGCGTAAACAGAATGAGAACATGGATCCATCATGCCTTGTTACCACTGTGCAGGCTGGTGGTGGTGGTGTAATGGTGTGGGGGATGTTTTCTTGGCACACTTTAGGCCCCTTAGTGCCAATTGGGCATTGTCTAAATGCCACGGCCTACCTGAGCATTAGTTTTGACCATATCCATCCCTTTATGGCCACCATGTCCATCCTCTGATGGCTACTTCCAGCAGGATAATGCAACAAAGCTCGAATCATTTCAAATTGTTTTCTTGAACATGACAATGAGTTCACTGTACTAAAATGGCCCCCACAGTCACCAGATCTCAACCCAATAGAGCATCTTTGGGATGTGGTGGAACGGGAGCTTCGTGCCCTGGATTTGCATCCCACAAATCTCCATCAACTGCAAGATGTTATCCTATCAATATGGACCAACATTTCTAAAGAATGCTTTCAGCACCTTGTTGAATCAATGCCACGTAGAATTAAGGCAGTTCTGAAGGCAAAAGGGGGTCAAACACAGTATTAGTATGGTGTTCCTAATAATCCTTTAGGTGAGTGTAGGCTATTTTACATCTTACACGAACCCTGGTTTACTCCAACAAACATGCTGGATGAAGTTTTGTTTGATAGAAACAACACCCTTACTGTTTCATTTACACTAATATGTAAACTAATTCTGCTTTTTAGATTGCATGTTACCAATCGTTCCTCCCTGCTGCGACTGCTCCACTGGGCAAACAAGCTTTTCCAGGGGAAAGCCAGTTATTTTAGTTGGAATGAACGGTAACCTTTTTTATTTCTTCATATTGTGTTTTTTGTTTCTTGTGAACAATAGATAATTGTTTTTCTTTGAAATTTCAGGAAGATACAACCTATTCCTTCCATCAGTAAACTGCTCCTGTGGAAAAACCTTGCCAGTAACCATGAGTGATCTGGTTGAAAGTGGTTACTGGCCAGCCACTGTCAATTTTGAGACCTTGTACATGGTGGACTTGTTCACCACGTATGAAGATCTTAAAATCACTGCCCCAGGGATGTCAAGACAAGCTTTTGTCAGCATGCTCGAGTGTCGTACAAAACTCTTTGGGCGAGTGAGTGGACTCATCATTTCTTATTTGGATTACGTTTTAAATAACTGATTCATTGTTAGGACTTGTTCTTACAATCCCCAAAGTTTCAGTACATATTTCTTGATGGAGCCCTTTCTTCGTCATGACCATAGTCGGAAGCCAACCTTTTTTTTTTTCCACTTTTGTTCTCAGAGTGGTAAGATATGTGGGGACACAATGCAGAGGGCCTTCCTCGAATGGGCCTATGCCAAATTTGAGGTTGACAAGCTGTCTCAGGTCCAGCATTTTCAGTGCCCTGCATGCACACCCTCCATGTTGGCAGTTGCAGTGGATGGGAACCGCAAATTATATCGTTTCAAAAGCCAACCAGGGTGTGTAACATTCAAGTACAAATTAAAAGGATCAAAATCAAAAGTACAAATCAAGTACAAATTACTTTTATACAATAAATTTTACCCACATCTACATCTATAGACCAAGACCTGATGGGTTTTTTGATGGAGTCTTTTTGGCCAGTGATGCTGAGGTGTCCTCCTTTGTTGATTACATCCATGGAAAAACTGGACATGTAAGCTAAATTTATATTTCTTCATGTGTAACACCACAATTTCACATTTTTATGAATGCTACCCCCCCCCCCCCCCCCAAATTTAAACAATATTTAGTTTAATTAAGTGATAGAGCGGCATTAATCCATCAAATGCCATAATACCATGATTTACAGCTTACTGTATAAAATGTAACTGTGTAAATGTCTGTATTTGCCCTCATCTGTTTAAGAATCCAGGAAAAGGGAGATGTGGTGCGGGTCAGTGGACCGCAGCACGAGAGTCCGCCAACAAGTCTGCAAGCAAACTAGATGAGGAAGGTGTTGAATTGGCTGTCTGCCGTCATGGGGTTTTGCTGAAGGGACTGAATATGTTCCGTGGAGAAATTTTTGCATACCCATTATATCTCCAGAAACAGCTAGCTTCACAGAACGTCCAGTTCTTTTGCTCTGATGTGGTCTGCAAATATTGGCCATATCTGGAGAGAGTTGTGGACCACTGTCCAGAGTTGGAGGACTTGCTGGATATGCGCCCATTTCTCTCCATCATGCATGCAAAAGCGCATTCATGGATGTGTGAGGTAATCATGACAATTAGATGTATTTCTTACCATGTGTACCACACGTTATGATTGTCTGTACTCTGCCCCTACTTGTTGTTTTCCAAATGATTACATTCATGTAAATGTGTTACAGTTAAAATGGGGGGGACGCAATCAAGAAGGAGCTGGAACAACAATCGGGGAGGAGGTTGAACAGGTTAACAGCTTCCTCTCCCGAGCAGCCATATGTTCCAAGTACATGTCAAAAGCCGGTAAGCATTTTTCATGTATAGTTGTGTCCAAATTGAGACCAAGGGGTTTGAACACTGATGCTCGGCCTTTGCATTTTAGAGTTCCATGCATAGGTGAAATGCATAAGTGAAAACAAGAAAATAAGTCTAGTCAGCTTACAGACACTGATCAGGATTCTCTTTATAATAATTTATCTTCTGATTCGTCAATTAAGTGTATGATTATTTCCAGGTTTATGTGACAATATTAGAGAATGATCAATGTAGTATCTGATCTTTGGTCCTCACTGTGAACCTAAATTACTGCACATTCACTGTGTGTCAAGTTTGCACAGACATGCTGACAATCCAGGCAAGTGGCTGGAACAAGCGAAAGGCAGAAAACCTTGACCGGACATTGGCCAAAAGATACGTCAAGGTACTTACTAGGCAAATATGCATAACAACATTTTTTTTTTTTAATTGGCTTTATGCACAGCTGCACTACTTCCTGAACTTAAGCCAGCTCCTTGTTTCCTGTCTGACATTATTGGCCAAGCTTGATTAATTCAGGTGTGAATTAATTCAGGTGTACTTCTTAAATAAATTGTACAAATTAAGAGTGTAACAAATATCTGTGAACATTTTACACCGCAGTGTTTTAACATACATACCCATACATGATTAAAAATCACACCTTCAGTTATGAAAAACAAATGTTAGCCAGACTTTTTCCAGACAATATTAGGGAAAAAAGATACTTAATTATTAAAAAGATAATTAATTAATAAGAGAAGTTTCCTTTCGAATTATCCAACGTGTATATCCCGTTAATACTTTCTTAAAGAAATTCAAGGTAGATGTTAATGCAAATTGTTCTTTTTGTGGACAGCACCCAGAGACTAGTGCATTTGTTTTGGCTTTGCCATTATTCTAAATTGTTATGTAAAGACTTTTCCCATTTTGTTATTGATAACATTGATAAGGATTTTTCTCTACTCTGGGAAAAATGTTTAGTTTGGAATTGTTAATTGGAAAAATCAGCAATTAGACAAAAACAAAATATTCGTACTGATCTTTTTTAAAACACAATTTTATATACACAAATGTAAATTTTCAGGTCAGAAACCACTTTTCTATGTTTTGAGTACTGATGTACAACATTACTTTGGGACTATCTCTTGGCGCTTTTCCATTACCAGTACCAGCTCGACTCGACTCGACTCGCCTTGGCTCGCCTCGACTCGGCTCGCTTTTCGCTCCGTTTTCCATTGCAGAAAGTACCGCCACAAATAGTACCCGGTCGTCATAGCGACGCATTTCGTTCCTTGTTGCCCCATCAAGCTCTCGCTGGATCCTCTCTTCGGCAACCAAACAAAGGAATGTCTGCACCTCCTCGTTTGACCACGGCGTATTCTTCCGAGTTGCCATAATAATAGTAGTAAGTTTAGTAACTATCTCTGGCCAAACTATTTAAAATACTCCATCTGGCGCGTGCAATGATGACGCAGATTCTCTGTGACCAATCAGCAGTCGGCATTGTTTTCACGTCACATTTTAGTATCGGGTTAGCTCGCCTCAGCTCGCTTGGAACCTCGCCGGAGGTGGTACGAAAAAAAGTACCCGAAAGCAGGTACAGGTACAACTTTTACACAGTGGAAAACCAAACAAAGGCGAGTCGAGCCGAGCCGAGCCGAGGCGAGCTGGTACTGTGTAGTGGAAAAGCGCCATCTGACTCATGTATCAAGAAGGCTTTAAAAACAGTTGAAATATGTAAATCTTTTGATATTTTCCTTTGATATGTAAAAATATTTTCTGATTAGTTATACTCCTGTCTTTTTTATTAGTAATCGTTTTATATTGTGACTGTTTATATAATTTTTTTCCATTTTAAAAAATGTGTTTGTGTGTGTTTTTAGGAGTTTTTTTGTACATTTTTCATAGCGGAAGTAGCAACATTGGCCGTTACTATGGAGATGAGGACAAGTCCGCTTTGCGTCACCATAGACGTGCGTCACGTGAGCAGAGCAGTTGGCGCGCTCGTCTCCTGTTTTAGTTAAAATATCGTCATTAAACGAACATTTTTGTCTTTTCTTAGCATAGATCATATACATGCAGTATAATTATTTATTAGACAGTGTGTGATATTTGATATATTGGGTAGATACATGTTTTCACAACCCTAGCACGGCCCTAAAACGGAGGAACTACAACTGGGGTGCTGATGTCAACACAAGTAATAAAGAGGGGTCTAGGGAGTTGTAGTTTTTTTTAAACCCGGGGTTTTCCCTAAAATTGGAAGTTGTAAATACTTAATTGGTGGCATTCCAGGGATTTGAGGAGATGTCAAACACATTTTTGGCATCAGAATTTAAATATTGTCTTGTTCAAAGGGGGATTTTTTATTTTCACACCATAGCCCATAGGTTCAGTTGCAGAAAGCACTTTGAGGGCTTCAAGTTTGTGTGTGTGTGTGTGTGTGTGCGTGTGTACGTGCGTGTGTGTGTGTGTGTGCAAGGGCATAGATTTGGTTTGAACATTGGGGGGTAATGTTAGTGAAAAAAATGTTCTGCATATTTCTCATGTGTTCATGGTATAAATATGGGGGGGGGGGGGGGGGGGGTTATTGACTACTTATTTACTACTACTACCCCCCCCCCCCCCCCACACACACACAAAAATTACACTCCTGTGTGTGTGTGTGTGTGTGTGTGTGTACTCGTACAACTCCTCGCTCCAATGTGTTTTAGACCATTGGAGCGCGGACAAAGAAAGTAAAGTGAGGACATTTTGGCCGGTCCTCACTTTCTGAGACCCCTTTAAATGTCTGTTTGAGGGTCAAGACTTGGTTTTAGGGATAAGGTTATAATTGGGTCAAGGGTAGGTTTAGGAAAGGGTTCGGGTTAGGCACTTAGGCCCCGTCCACACTACTGCGTTTTCGTTTAAAAACGGAGACCTTTTGCTACGTTTGCACCTCCCGTCCACACTAAAACGGCAAAAACGGAGACCCAAAACGGAGAAGTTTAGAAACGCTGCCGACCCGTTTTTCGTTTTGAATCTCCGGAGGGCGTTTTAGTGTAGACGGGTCAAAACGGAGGACTTTAGAAACGATGACGTAGTAGAGGCTCACGCTCGGCTCTATGATTGGGTGTCATCAGTCATGGCGTATATCTTTGCTAGCAGCTGTTGTACAAGTAAATTCTGCATTTTACAACGCTATAACTGCCGACATGCGCCGGAGTCAAGCTATTATTCCAGCGATCTGTGACAATTCCCGTGTGCAGCGGCGGCGTTGACCGTACATGGAGCGTCGGTTTGGGGTTAACCCAGAGCATGGTGGGATAATTTTATCAATGAAGTTGTGTTTACACCGGCACGCGCATGCCCAGTGTTGGTGAATGGTCACGTGATCCGCGTTTTCAGTCGTTTTAATGTGGACGGAGATCAATTCTAATACGCAGCTAAAACGCTGGTGTGGACGGAGATCGTATTCGTTTTAATTATCCGTTTCTAAACTAAAACGCAGTAGTGTGGATGGGGCCTTAGTTGTGATGGGTAAGGTTAGGGTCAGCGGCTAGAGATTGTATTGTGTCAATAGGCTATTATGTCCTCATAAAGATAGATGTACAAGAGAGAGAGAGTGTGTGTGTGTGTGCGTGCGTGTGTGTGTGTGTGTGTGTGTGTGTGTGTGTGTGTGTGTGTGTGTGTGTGTGTCTGTGAGAGAGAGAGAGAGAGAGAGAGAGAAGTGTGAGAGAGTGTGAGTGCAAAAGTGAGTTTTGTGTTTCTACCCCTGCCTTTCCCACACAAGGTTGCAATTCTTAAATATGATATAACAAAGGAAAATATTAACCATAAATGCTGTTTATATTGCTTTTAATTGGGATAAAATAAACATCTGTTGAGTAGGTCCACCAGACCCACGAACACTGGCTGATTAACAAAAATAACCAATAAAGCACTACTCACACTTTTTTGTCTACTAAAATATAACACCTGATGCATTGTGTAGCCTATTTGCTGTGGCAGATATAAATTATTTGAATGACTGTGTTAGGTTATCCTTGCATAAACATGGCTAATCTTGAAAAATAGAACACAGAACAGAAGAACAGAACACAACACCCCCCAGCCCCCACCCTTCTTGAATATGGTTTATGAGGACACAAATCTGTATAATGACATGTCCTCATAAACCATATTCAAGAAGGGTGGGGGCTGGGGGGTGTTGTGTTCTGTTCTTCTGTTCTGTGTTCTATTTTTCAAGATTAGCCAAATTAGCCAAGGCCAATTAGTCTGAGGTTGAAAAATAATTAATCTTATCATAGTTCTTTTGAGTACAAAAGTTATTTTTTTATTTTTTTAAGTGTCACAAAAGTGGCATCGTAGCTGCGAGAGGTCGCTGATTGACAAGTGGGTTGCCCTATCACAGAGGCACAGAGATCAGCAGATTGACAACTGAGTGAGGGGGGTGTGTCCGCTCTATCCGACCGACCATGATCATACTGTTCAGTACACTCTCAAAGGTAGGTAATGAATACATAACATACTTACGGAACCTGAATAATAAAGTTAATTAGCGCTGTCTAAACCATCATTTGTTAATTATGTATCACCATTAATTTATAGGAATGTGTTTAATGACATAGGGGTTTACCCAGCTTCAAGCCACCGCATTTAAGGTTAGCTGGAGTTGGCGGCAATGTGCTAACCGAGGTCAGAATTATAAATTGAAAAGTGTATTTACTCCAATACTAGATTAAATCAGAAATCAACTATGGAGTATGGGTTATTGTTGCATAGAATATGTAGTAGGGCTGTGCGATATGGACTAAAAGTCATATATCGATATTTTTTTCCGTGATCGTATAATTTCATACGTCTATCATTAATAGCCCGCGGTAATTCGCACTCCCATCACTCACTCATACTTCAAATCCCACAAAGCACTGCAACAGCTGACACACAGGTCATAAAAACCGAATGTGCTCTATGCGCGGCGGTATTTCCGGTTTGATTTCTTCCGCCAATCGTAGAATCCAATGCTATACCGAGAACTTATGGTTTTCATACTCTATGGCTATACTTAAGAAACGTTTGTCACAAAAACAGACACCCCTCATTGTGTGTATGCTTCTTTTTTAAATGATAAACATAACTATACAAAATTACATCTAAACGTATTAAAGTTTTGTTTCAAAGACGGGAGGACAGTACATTTTTAAGATTCTGCCATAATCCCGTTTTCCTCGGTTCTCCTCCACTTTAAATCTCCCCAACCGGAAACTGAAGAGCAGCCTTGCGTTGGCTTTATGCACAGCTGCACTA